TAATAAATAATCTGTCTACTATCAAATAAATCAAAGTGATAACATCTCATAAAGTGCACCAGTGTAAATGATTCAAACCTGTATTACTCAGTCCCAATATTGCATACCCAGTGTTGCATACAAAGTGAATATAATGGGACCAGTAACCGTTGAAGTATATAGGTTGAATCGTGTAGCCACCTGACTGATAAATAGCTATCTGATATTTAGCCAATAAATCAACAAACGTGGTATATAGGGGCGGGGCTACACTTTCCAATACCACGCACTACCAGGAAGTGGAGAAGTTTTATTTATACCGTACGAGCGGCCGGTTAGATCGTTTTTAAATTGTAAGTGGCTACTTTTTGTCCTTTGAATAAACCTTGATTGACTACACCATGAGGAGTTCTTCCTTTTTATATTCCCGCTAAACTAATGATTCATGGGACGAGGAGGGGACGGCTGTGAGACCTGTAACTGCCATCTCATCTGCTTCTGCCTATAATCGTTGGGATCTGGTGAGTGTACACCCCAAAAGGGGAATCACCGACGGGGCTACTGTGGTGTGGATTTTGCCTTATCATCAATACACTGCTGTCACTGGGAGTTCTAATCTATGTTGGACGCACTTTTTTCAATTTTTCTATATCGGTTGGAATCCACTTCTTATGCAACACTTTTTATATATGACTTTGGACTGAGGATTATACTTGTGAATTTTTGACTTGTTCAGAATCCATTTATTTGAATTCTATGCACTTGCACTTTTAGAGTTTTTATATACCACGTGTGTTGATTTATTGGCTAAATATCAGATAGCTATTTATCAGTCAGGTGGCTACACGATTCAACCTATATACTTCAACGGTTACTGGTCCCATTATATTCACTTTGTATGCAACACTGGGTATGCAATATTGGGACTGAGTAATACAGGTTTGAATCATTTACACTGGTGCACTTTATGAGATGTTATCACTTTGATTTATTTGATAGTAGACAGATTATTTATTAATATATTTATAAATTCGCTGCACAGTTTTCTAAAACTTTTATCACATCGAATTATTTTTGTTTCCTTCTGTTATATTGTTATAGGATTTTGGTACACTTGGGGTGCTGCGTGTTGGCCAGTGCCATCCAACTCCCTTTTTATCTCTTGCGTCCACTGCAATGAGGGTCTGTGGTTACATCTTGAATATCCCACAATGTATGTACACATGGTGGGAACATGAATACGTTAATTTGGAAATATAGATAATGTATTCAGGTTTGCTTGTACTCATGCTGTCTCAACTGTGATCAGTTATAGATATCAATATTTTGATTTGATTTCCTGATGAAGCAGGCTAAAAGGGTGCCCTGTGAAACACGTAGAGTCATCCTCAGTTCACTGGCAGTGCCAGCATCTATTGTAAACTGATCTTTAATTGTACTTGTGTCATCTATAGTATTGATAGTATGCATTTCAATAAAAAAGAATTCCAATGTTACTGTGATATTACTGTGATATAGCTGCTCCAGTGTATGATCAAGTTTAACCCTCAGAAACATTTACTTATGGTGTTGGAATGTGCAACGTGTAAGTATAGTACCATTACAGTCTGGCATACGGGTGCTTGTTGAAATATCATATATATTTTATTTTATGGATGTGGTACCCTAACCCACCAAAAATCATCTATTATACTTAAAATATGTCTAGTATTCAGGAGTCTATCAGTTCCGATTAGAAGCCTGCAAGCAAATGCAAATTACAAAAGGAGGAGGAGGGCATGAGATTCCACTGCCATCAAAAAGTTAAGTGCCAGTTATCTCTTTAATTGGTGCATTGGTTACATGGCTAGTGAGTTTTATTAACACCTTTAGCAATGTTCAGCCCAATATCCTTGGAAACTGAAAAAGTCTAAAACTACATATGAGGCCCAGTAGAACTACTTTCCTTGTATACAGTAAATTTAAAATACAATGTAATGGCACAGTAAACATACATTGCTACCTTATGCCACCTTATGCCTATACAGTAAACACACATGGCTTCCAGACCAAACTACAGTTTGCTCATGTAATATTTAATAAAGAGCGCATTTTACGTTGATTGCCTAACAACATCTAAACCTGACAAACCAGTTATGCCAAGGAACCTATGAAATGTGACACCAGCCTTAAGCATTTCTGAACGAAGATTACTGCTGTAAGCGACAGAATGTGTATTGTCTGAGGTAATCTTAAGAAAAAAAGCTATTATCAATGGATTAGAATCACATCAGAAATTAAATCAATGTATGTGTCGGCTTCAGCAGGTATACAACCAGCAATAATACCAGTGTGCTATTGCTGGGTAACCCTTTTGTTGTCAGGGGTCATTGATGTCTACATGCCCAGGATAAATTTAGCAGCATTACAGCTTGTTCACCCTACATGCAATGGTTGGCGTTTTCTATGTGCCCCATTCACACCACAAGGCAGGTGTGATGTACAGTGCAGCACACTGGACCGCACCGCAGGTCACCGCACTACTGTGCTGGAACCTGAATGGAGTGAATATTTTGTGCACTACAAAAAAAGAAAAAAAAAGTAAAAGCGTGTGATGCACTGAGATAGAGCTCTGGAGCGTTTTAACAGGGGTGTTAATGTGAACAAGCTCTAGGCAATTTACGTACCCCCCCCAAGAAAATTACACTGGTGTTTTAAGACATACTGTATGTCCTTAATTTGATACATTATTTCCAATTTCAATCTTTTTTGAGTCCTTTTAAAAAGGTGTCGGCACAGGATCGAGAAGTGAGCGAGCGCTGGTATGTGTTCGCTCATTTTCCGATCTACTGAGCCGACCTGTGACAGTTTCATCGTCACAAGTCAGCTCAAATTATGAGGCTGAGTGAAAATCACTCTCCTCATAATTCTCCTTTAAGTAGAAAGTATTTTCAATCTAAAAGTACAGTTGTCAAATCTAAAATGTATAGACACAGCCTGTGACTGGACAGTAAAAGGAGAAGTTGCACAGTGATGAGCTCCTCTCTACTTCTATCAGCATTCTTCTTGTCAGCACACTCCAGCTCTGGTGCACAGGAACTGCAAGAGGCTGATACCAGGTCACATTCAGGTACTTAAATTGCTTGCATTAAAAAAAAAAAAAAAAAAAAAAAGAAACTGAACTTGTGCTTTAAGCACAGTAAGGCTAATTTTTCTTGAAGGAAATTATCATCTGTACTTTTTGGTGAATGACTTTCTATGTATTTGCTGATATCAAGCTATGCTCTTTCCACATACTGCACCTGCCGCTATCAGAGAAGCCCTAAGCACCACTGTGTGGTATAAAAACCCTCATAATCTGTACATACTACCACATTACCATACATATTGGTGCTCCTCTCAAAACACCTATAATGGGGAATAACCCAGAGCAACTGGCCTTCAGCTTTTAGCAGTTCTGTGCTGATTTATCATTTGTTGCCAAGGGTTCCTGCACGTCACCTCACATGATGTATTAGATTGCTACTTAATGTTCATTTTGTATTGAAGTGAACCGATAATAAAAAATTGACACTTCACATGAATCAATGACACATTTGACAGCATTGCCAAATCACCTTATTTTAAGTAAAAATTATCTTTCTTGCCATGAATGAAAACATCGCAGATCACAGTCTGAGGTTACCAAAAGTTTCTGCAAACTCTCAATGTTTTTCAGTGAGCTCTAAGAGAAGACTATTAAAAAGGCTGCCGCCATGTCCACAGATCTATACAAAGGAACAAGTCTTTTTTTTTCCCCTTTATAATACACACATTGATACAAAAGTTGATCTCTTTCACATGTATAGCTAAATGATGATTTACCAAACGATAATTACCCCTCAAAGTCAGCTTCCCTTGAAGTGCTGGCAAGGCAAGCAAGTGTAGATTTCAAGACCAATAAATTGTTAATGCTGAATACATTGATCCCGGTCACTCTGTGTTTCTGGTCTGACTACATACTTTCTGGTTTAAAAAAAAAAACTTTTCCAAAAAAATAAAAAAAAGATTCTGTCGCTCTATATGGTAGCATGGAAGTCTGACTTTTCTTGGGAGCAATATCATGACCCTTGTCCTGCTGCTCTTTACAACTCTTGGTGCAATAAAGGAGTCAACAGGCATCGCAGAATGTGTGCCCAAGTAATGGGTTTTCATTTGAATTGGGGGAATGTTTGTATGTCAGCAGGGTCTCTAGGAGTGTGCCAGACATCTCCGGTCTGAGATAGTCGATTCTGTATGATCCATGTGCTTTACCAAAAAGGGGCTCATGCCAGGAATGTGACGGACATACATATTCACTGAATGCCAACAGGCACATTGCATTAGAAATGCCAATTGGTTGCTGGATTGCACATAGAACTGACATCTCGTTAGTGAATTTTTGTAGGTAGCTTTACATTTGTCTATTCACAAACAACACTGTTCTTAGAGCACGGTTACATTTGTGCAAATGAGCCCTCTGATTCACCAGCAGGTAGGGCTACCCCTGCACTGCAAGTGTTAAGTGCTCCTTTTGTCTGGGGAGCTAAAATAACTAAGTTATGCTCACCCGAACTGCAATCCCATCTGGTTCCTACACCACCCCCTGCAGCCTGTCTCCTCTTCTGCTCCAGCGATGGTATGTCATGCTGCATCCTCACGTCCTATACACTGTATAGAATGTGATGACTCGCATGACCCTAGACCGCTGGAGCAAGGCTGAAGGGACCAGTCTAACAGGATTGTGGTTTTGGTGAGTATAACTTTATTACTTTAGCTCCCTAAATAAAAATTAGCACTTAACCCTTGTAGTGTGGGGGTAGCCCTACTGCAAGGGTTACAATTTTACTTGCTTGGAGTTCTTTTTTTAATAAGACAATACAGTTCTACCTGAGAAAGCCTTTAGCTATTTTGTTTCTGGCAGCAGAATTTAGCTAATCATTTATCATTGTTTTGAAAGATGCAAACATTACAATAAACCTACTTTTTAACCCTTCAATGTATAAACTGTGACATGCTCTCACCTGGTCCATAAAACTTCTTCCCCCTTGTGACATCAAACACCTTGGCATTAATTGCCATCAGAATCCTGGGATTTTGGGCACCGTCAAATTCTTTAAGCTGAGCCATGGTAAAGTCTCTCTTCTTCATCTTGGGTAACTGCTCTTCTCTGTCTTCTGATTCGCTGGGTTTATCCCCCCGCAGTATCTTGTACAGCAGATACAGGCAGAGCAGCAGCAGACATATATTTAAGGGAGAAGTAAAGATCTCCGTCAGGATGCCCTCTTCAGCCATGTTAATTACTTGCGAGTTTTCAGAGCCAACGCATTCAATTCCACAGAGGTTAATGCCTTCCTACCTGCAGAACAAAACAAACGTCACGCTGAATAATTGATATAAACCCAATTATACCGTGCATCACTCTGTAACCGCAGGCGGTCTCTGTACAGGATGCCATGTGTGAGCAGGAATGCTTGCAGCACATGGAGGTGCATGAGAGCTACACAAAGCAATGTGCATTGTTTATGGGAGCAGTAAAGAAAAACAAACAGAAAGGATACAAATGTAACACATAGATGTAGACTGGAAGATTGATTAGCCTTTGAGACAGACATTTCCCCTTGAGCTGCTACTTACTGTGCCTGCACACACTGACTGTGGCCGCCTGTACTGGGTCACTCCCAGCTCTGCACAAGCCTTGGCTGCACACCAGCACGATTGGCTAATACAGCATTTTTTCTGTGCAGGAAGAGGAGTTTTCTTTCCACTCCTATTTGTTCCAGGTCAGATGTCAGTTGGCATAATCAAAATGTTTCTGCATCTTCCAACTTGTCATATTTTATACAGCCTACTCCTCACTCCTCCAATTAGCATCACATTACCCAATCCAGTGTCTGTGTCCCAGCCTTTCTAGCATGTGAAGTGCTGATTGAATAAAGTGAACTTGTAGCAGAAAAGCCGCCCTCTGAGCAGTGTTGGTGGTTTCTCGTGAGTGAATTCATCAAAATCAATGTCGCCAAATCAGAAACTCTCCATTTTGTTCACTGAGCATTCAGACAAAATTTGCTTGAAAAAAATATAAATTTTTCTTGATTTAGAAGGTGTGTTTTCTGTGGTATTTAGGGCTCATTCACACAAGTGTGCACATCCATACATCATGCACGCCCGTGCAGAGACCTGCTCCCAGGAGGGACAGGTCCTGCGTGTCATTGCGTGCCTACGGGAGGACTTGGCTGCATGCCGACCTGAACCTGCACATTCGTGCAGGTCCATGTGGCGGCACTTGGATGCAAACTGCCTGCGTCTAAGCACGGGCACCTGGACCTGCATGAATGTGCAGGTTCAGGTCGGCATGCAGCCGCGTCCTCTCGTAGGGAGGCACAGGCAGTTGCACACAATTACACGCAGCACCTACCCTTCTGAGACACTGTATTGATGTGCACGGCCACGTGGGTAGAATGAGCTCTTAGGGTAGGTTATTTCATTAAAAGCCTATTCACACTAGCCCGTCCACTAAAATGCTGAGTTACATCGGATGGGCTAGTGCATTGTGACAGCTCCTGCAGTGCGCGACTTGCGTTGTATTGAGCTGTCACTGTTCACATTTTTTTAAACTTTATGTGCGTGTACAATGTGTACACTATATTCAGGTCCCCACATCGCAGTGCAGTGTGCTGCTGTACGGAGACCTGTGGTGACATGCAGTGCACTGTCATAAAATGCAACGTCTGCTTTTTGTCGCAGAGCAACGCTTATCACACTCGCGACACACGACCCGCGACAGCAGGACCCTTTGCCCCATTGAAATGCATTGGAGCGCGATATCGCGCGGTAATTTGCAGCGATATCGCGGGAATTACCGCGCAATAAATCGCTCAATGTGAACATTGTTTCTTAGGGCTCGTTTGCACCATATACAGTGCGTGGCAGCATGATTCGCTGCTGGAACGCACTGTATTGCATCCCGGCTGGCTCCTGTTCAGGGGCGGGAGGGGGTGTGTTGGTGCACTGAAGTCAATGGCACCCCAGCCACCCTCTCCCGCAACAGTGCGATTGCCCGCAACAGAACGCGTGCTTGCAGCATTTTTTCTGATCGCACTGGACCGAACTGCAGGCATTGATGTGCCCCCTCCCGCCCCTGAACACAGGGATCCGGCCGGGATGCGATACAGTGCGTTCCAGCCACGAATCGTAACCTTATAAGCCTGTCCTGGCCCTGCCTCTGATCCACAGATGTACCACAGTCACTGTCCATTCCTATGCATACACACTGGACCCATTCACAGCATTAGTCCCTGTTTACAACATAGTGTAGCAGGGACGTGCATCGCACTGATGTGCGTTCATGGGAATTTGTTTCCTGCGTTAAACACGCATCCACATTGATTTGAATGAGTGCCGCACACGTTCAAAAAATGGGAAAAGTCACGCATGTAGCTAAATCTGCAACACATGTCCCATGTTTTTTCCCGTGCCTTTTGTACACGTTCGGTGTGCCATGAATTAGTAATGGCACCACTAGCGCGTTGCGCCTTTTGTACACATTCAGTGAAGGCGTTCCATGACAATGCGCACATTTTTGTCCGAGTTTGCCGCACAATCACGGAACGCGATGGTGTGAACTGGGATGAACTGAGAATGCACCCTGCATGTCTCTTCTTACCTCCCAGCAATTTGACTTTACTTCTGCTTTAATAATGTACTTTTACAAGCTGTTTTTTTTTTTTTATGTCAGACTGGCCTTAAGACAGCTCCTCATATTACAATCCAATCATACACGGGGGAATTTATGAAAACTGGAGCAGACAGAATCTGAACCAGCTGTGCATGGCAACCAATCAGCTTCTCACTTTTATTTTCAAATCTTAACTAAACAGAAGAGAGAAGCTGATTGGTTGCCCTGGGCAACTGCTCCAGATCTTGTCTGCTCCAGTTTTTTTAATTTCCCCCATGTCTTTCTGTATAACAGAACCTGGCTCAGTATATCCGTGCAGTCAATCTACAGATCATCCAGCAAACCTTCGCACTACACAGTGAAGATCGTTCAATCAGAAGACTGTGACAACACGCACGACTCCTCCATTGTAGGACAGCCTGATCATGTGATCATACGTAACCCCTCCCCTTCTCTCCTCTCAATGGCACAGTGTGTTATGATAACCAATCAGTAGTTTGCACTTTGCAGCGTCCTTTTCCAATGACCGGGGACGCGAACTTGCAGCCGCGTCATTCTACCGATCACAGACCCTGAGGCCATGTATCCGCTGTTTTACAACATAGTGGGCGGGGTCTGTCAGCATATTGTCCAATCAGGTGGCAGAAAACACTGAGCTGCCGGCCACCAATCAGAAGCTCTCGTTAGCCCCTGCTCTGACACGGGATGTCCCGGGAGAAGAATAGTGAGCGCTGAGCCGGCCGTGTCCCCGTGTACAGGGCAGTGCCCGCTGTGCCCACATGTCATCATATACATAGGGCGCAGTGCATACCCTGTACATGGCCAGTCTAAAGAGGGACCCCAGGCTCACCTCCTGGCAGAGCACACTGTGCGGGGGTGCAGCTGGAGTCCTGAGCCGCACTGCCACCGCCCCCCTGGATGTGGCGAAGATACTGACACAAGTGGGCACCTTCCACTCCAAGCAAGGCTTCTTCAACACCTTCCGACTGGTGTACACCGCAGAGGGGCTCCCAGCGTTCTGGAAGGGTAACCTGACCGCGTGTGTGCGCCTGTTCCCCTACAGTGCGGTGCAGCTGTCAGCCTATCACAAGTAAGTGTGATGAGCTCCGCAGGGGCGGGGTTACCGGGAAGTGGGGTATCTGCGGGTGTGGGCTGTCACTGCCACCTACTGTATGTTGTCTTCTATTCATTCTGAAACATGCCTGGTAGCTAGATACACACAAGGATGGTGCACCTAATCAAGCCAACAACAGCCCTGGAACGCAGCTGGTTAAATAATACCAACATTTTTAGTATGATTTGCTGCATTGTTTATAATTAGAAAATGTGTATTTTGAACTTGACGCATGTTGATGTGAATAGCGCTGAGCATTTTTTTTTGTCATCATACAGTCTGATTGTACTGGCAAGAGGTTAAGGTGCCCATATACCTTACGATTATCGGACGAAACTTTTCGTCCGATGATCGAGCTGGCGTACGATTTTCGTACGACGGCCCCATCCTGCCCCGATTATCGCAAGGTTCAATCAGCGGTAGTTAGAAAAAAAACACCTGGACGACTTGCGGTAATTGACCGTAATTAATTTCGTTTGCGCATGCGCAGTGTTAATTGTACCACTTTTGACGGACGGAAATGCCACCAACCATGCGAACATCATACGATCAACCAAAGTTTTCAAACATGCATGACCTTCAAAAGTCATACGATTGTACAGTACTATCGGTCGGGCACTCTATTCACACGTTACGATTGTTGTACGCAAAGTTGATCGCATACGATTATCGTACGATAATCGTGAGGTGTATGGGCACCTTTAGATCTGCAGACCACCATGTAGTGCAAATTCCTACCTGATTGGATATAATTGGGTATAGGTGCTGGGCTGTAATGCAATGCACGGACACCAGAGGTGTATTGGGTGCTATTTGAATGGTAATGCAGCGCATCTAGTGCATGTTACCGCATGCTAGGTGCTCTCTGCGATAGTATGCAGTAAATGTTTAGGATTGTGCATTTAGAACAATGCTGTAGTGTGAATGACCCTTATTCCTGTATAGCACTGTAACCACTGACAGCGCAGAGCCGCACTGAGTGACGTCACTGTCTTCCCCAGCGTCACGTCTGACTGGTTATGACCGATCCCTCAATCTTTTTATAAGGAAAATATCTTATTTTCACGATTGTTACTTTGATCCTGTGTAGCTGTGAAGTGGTAACTTTGTTTATAAACATTCACATGCATGTGTCATTACAATAGGAGTGAATAATACCTTAGGCCCCTTTCACACGGGTGCCTGGCAGTTCCCATCAGCAGGGGATCCGTGCACAGACTCCATGCTGATTGGAGCAGTATGGATTGAATGTCACGGTTGTGACCTCCATATACATCCAGTTTTTTCTCATATCTGAACTTACTGGACCCATGTTGGCCTATGTAGGGAGTTGGATGGAAGCGGGATATGTGTCCATTTACATCAGATTACCCGTGATCCGTCACAATCAGGTCCACCAAAACTGAACTCCTTTTGGTTTTGTTTTCCGGACCCAGAACACATCCATTTTCATCCAACTCCCTATAGACTAACATTGAGCTTCTGATCAGATCCGCCTGAAAAACTGACATGCGGACCTGATCAGACCGCTGAGTCAAAGGGGACTCATTCTTAGATCATTCTATACAGGGGCGTAACTAGAAATCACAGGGCCCCATAGCAAAATTTTGTATGGGGCCCTGTGATTTCTAGTCTGATTCTATATCTTCACACTAAGGAAAGGCAATGTCTTCTGACAACTGTATACATTTAATTCTCCATATGATTCTTTAGTTCACCTGTATTTATATCTTTATCCCCATTCAAATGACAACCAAGCTGCTCAGCAAAAGCATGTAAGTGATAGGGACCAATTATAACACTGCCGGGGATGTTTGAGTTGTTTGATGTGCATTTTTTAAAGGAGATTAAAGTGACACTAAACTCAGCAGGTAAATCCTAAAAATGCATTCAAGTACTTTTTAAAGTGACATTAAAGTCACATTTTTCCCCTCCCCCCAATGTTAAGTAAAACACTTACCTTAAATGATGTCTCTTAATCCGATCTTCTTCTTCTTTCCTGTCCTTTTCATCTGTCTTTGCAGCACTGTGGCGGGTCTCCGATCCAGCGCTGACTCCTCTGAGCTTGCTGGCATTTCTTGTCCCACGGTGTCTGTATCCATAGATTTACCTTGTGTCTCTCCACGTCTGCTGGCCGAAAATCCAAACTGCGCATGCGCCCACCCCAAGATGCTTTGCAGCCGCCCGAGCAGTTTCGGATTTTCGGACAGGAGCGCGCGGCGAAGACTGGGGTAAGTTTAAACAGCTTATAAAGCTTTTTTTTTTACTTTTTGCCTATTTCTACTGCTTGCTAGCAGTAAATATATGCAAAAAAACGAACGGTTTAGAAACCCTTTAACTATTAACAAAAATGTATCTTATTTGTACATCACTCGGCTGTAGATCCTCAAATCATCTCTGAATTGGTGCCGACACTGTCCTTCCTATTGGAGGGGGGCTACTTTTGTTCTCCATGGTCCCTGTGTGTGTTGTAAAGTAGCCACCGCTGCAAGCTCACTCCTGTGATAGACTACAATCTCAATACAAACTAGTAAACTGAGGGCTGGTTAACACCGTCTCCAGTGTGTATCGGCACAGTTAGTGGTCAGAACGCACTGGATCGCATAGTGGAAGCCTCCCTGCTGTCTGGGGCGGGAGAGGGCATGACGGCGTGGCATTCAAGTCAATAGCAGCGCAGACACACCCCCTTGCCCGCAGTGCGATTGCCCGCACCAGAACGCGTGGCACAGCAATGCCTGCATTCTGGTCCGGTGTGATCGCAAAAAATAGTGCATGCACTGGAGATGGTGTGAACCGACTCTGAATGTGAGCTTGTAATCTATCAGAGTAGTGATTTTGGAGTGCTGACTACTTTACATCACACAGGGACCATGGGGAACAAAAGTATCCACCCTCCAGAATGAAGGACAGTGTCCGAACCAATTCAGAGATGATTTGAGGATCTACAGCTGAGTGATACACAAATCAGATACATTTTTGTTAATAGTGAAGGTACATGAATGCATTTTAAGGTTTAACTCCTGAGCTTAGTGTCACTCCATTCACACTATGGGTTTGTATGAACGTGTCACGGGTGTGCGCGAAGTGCGAATGGGGCCTTAACCATATGATTAGAAGATGACTGTTGTGAGCCACCCTGGCTGTGGTGACCCAACATTTCTCATTGTGGATGTGGCTAGGCAGCTTGATCTACATATAAGGAAGAATATAAATGAGGAATCATTATACTGAATACTCTCATGTGATTAACAGAATGAGGACAGATCATGTGACTCGGACTGTCTCATCAGTGATGATGGACCCTAGTACAGAACTTCGCTAGTTATAGAAGATCAGAACTGAGCTTTGATCAGTCCCCTCTACACTGATCAAGAATTCTCATTGGTTAGCACACACCACGTAGGTTCTGTTTATATCCTCCATGACAGTGGGTTACTGCAGGTTACATTCCTCTTCCAACAAGGGAGGGTGCAGAGCTCACAACACCTCCTCGCCTGCCAATGAAAAAGTGAGCTGGGTCATATGAGACCAAGTCATTGCACTCAACATGAAACCGAGCACTAGACATGTTATTAATCTGCTCTTGTCATATTGTTCATGTGGACATGTTAGGGTCATTTTTTTTATCGTAGTAAGCAGTCAAATTCTGTACTGCGAGTTCGTTGAGTCACATGATGACATTGTTATATTACTGCTGCCATGCCGTGAATAAAAAATAATTAGAAATGTCCAAAAGAAGTCACTTGCAATCCAAGCTCCAATGTGCCGAATGCCTCTTTTATTCAGACGTTATACAGACACAGTGGCACCGTGTAAAAGCAACGTCTCGGGACCGAACATGGTCCCTTCATCACTGTGTTTGCCTGATGAAGGGACCATGTTCGGCCCCAAAACGTTGCTTTTACACAGTGCCACTGTGTCTGTATAACGTCTATAAAAAAAAGAGGCGTTCAGCACATTGGACCTTGGAGTGCGGGTGACTTCTTTTGGGCATTTCTGTGATAACGCGGCGCCATCAGCAGGTCATACCAGCACCCATCTATCTTATGGGATTCCAGTCAGGAGTCCTGTGGATTACACATTACCTATAAAAATAATTAGGGCTCATCCATCACTCCAGCAGGTTTATCATGAATGATGCCGCATTTCATTATGCAGAACCTTCAAAATGCATGGACCTTAGAAAAGACTATGCGGGCTTTTATCACAACTGGAGCAGACAAAATCTGGAGCAGTTGCCCATGGCAACCAATCAGCTTCTCTCTTCAGTTTGTTCAGTTAAGATTTGAAAATGAAAGAGAGATGCTGATTGGTTGCCATGCAGAGCTGCTCCAGAGTTTGTTTGCCCCAGTTTTGATAACCCCCCCCCCCAATGTTCCTGATATGCTATAGTATATGTGCATATGATCACACATCAGTGACGTACTGAGGAACAAAATCCGTGCTCATAAAATTTGTAATTCGGTTACAATGAGTTTGAACATTCATGGACAGGCTACACCGCATATGGGCAGAATTGATTTTCAAGGCCATTTTGCTATAGAATGTACACTGTTGCATCTGAGCATACGCAAACTAAGCCTTGATGTGCATCTGCAAGTGCTTGTCCCATGTATGGTCAGCCTAAGGTCTGTTAAAGATACCTGTGCTCACATCTGTCCAGTATCATTATATTATATGTTATTATATACAGATTTTCCAACCTGTTTGATGTCTAAGGCCCCATTCACACTGATCGATTTATGGAGCGATTTTTGCAGCGATATCGCTCATATTTCCGCGCTATATCGCTCTATGTAGCTTCACCAATACATTTCAATGTAGCTGTTCACATCTCGTCGCTCAATATCGCTTGTAGCTCGTCGCTGGTAGCTTGTCGCTCCTACATGACCCTTTTTTAGAGCGATTTTGAGCGATATTGCTCCTGATTGCATACAGCCCAATAGGAAGAAGTCGCGCGATGTCGCGTGATTTCCATGTCGCTCAGTCTGAATGGGGTCTAAAGTAACCGCATTTAAATGGAATATGTGATCATACTGGCTATGGAAAAAATCTCGTCCTGACCAAAGACACTTTATTAACTATAAAAGCCACAACAAGCGGTTATGTTGTGCTTGTCACATGACTATGTCTCATCACATCCTGTAGGATTAAAATAGAATTATGCCATGTGATATTTCTTAGCACACTGTCTTTAATAAAGTAATTGTAGAGTTACCACATGTTTTTCCTTGAGGTATTTATCTGCTCAGGCAGGTATATGTAATACTATGTACAACGTTAGGCCTCATTTTTACACAGTAGATCCAGGCAACAATTAAACCAGTCAATGAGCCAGAAATTCTAGCTAGCATACACCGCAGTTGTGCTAAAATCATAACGTCCACCTTAGTTTTTCAATCACTGTAGCCACAGAACACAGGGACCCTCTTCATATTCAATATTGATGTTTCTACTAAAGCATGTGCTCTGCCAACCGCCATATTCACATTTCTTAAGCAGGTTTGAATCTGATTGATGGCTGTGAGGACCTTCTTAGTACTGACACTGGTTTATGAGAGACAGGAAACTGTAGGTGTGTTTGGGAATAGCTCCCCTGCATGGCAAACAGAAAAAGGGGTTTTCAGTAGGGATGTCCCGATACCATTTTTTGAAGATTAAGTACAAGTACTTTCCCTCAGGTACTTGCTGGTGCCAATTACCGATATTTTTTCTTAAAGGGACATGTGACATTTGTTCTAAAACAATACAGACCAGACTAATGATTTTAGGGCAGTTTCTTTATATTTATGAAGAACTGTAACTCAATCTATGATTATTCAGCAATGGAGAATGGCAACCGGCTATAGAGGACTACATATCTCATCAACCCATGATTATACAGCAATGAAAAATGGCAACCGGCTATAGAGGACTACAAATCTCAAAAAATACATGATTATTCCGCAATAGAGAATGGCAACCAACAATAGAGGACTACAGATCCCAGCAATCCGTGATTATACATATACTGCGTTTGGACCTCACCAGGGCTGCATGCATATCTCACCAGGGCTGCATTTGGGTCTCACCAGGGCTGCATGTGGGTCTTTCCAGGGCTGCACAGGTGGGTGCCAGGCTCTCCAGGGCTAAACGGGTGGATGCCATGTTTGCGTCGGGCTCCAGGGCTGTACAGGCGGCTGTGGGGCTATCCAGTGCTGTGCCGGTCTCTGCAGGCAGCAGGAGGAGATGTGGGCCGGGCTGGCGCTTAGGTCCCCAGCAAGCACAGGACCTCAGGCAGCCATTCTTGTTTAAAAATTTAAAGGGCCATCCCTAGTTTTCAGATCACCAGATTACTGATCAAAAGTACCTGCATATAAAATAGAACCAGTCACAAATGGACTTATTCAATAATTAGAACATTCAGTATTAAAGAGGCTCTTTCACAGAAAACCCACCCACCGACCCATACATACATACCTTCCATTTGCCCCCCTGTCACACCAATTCTCCATTTGAGCACTGAGTTCAAACCCCATGTAAGCTGCAAGTCTGATGGTGTAGAAATGTTGATAATGTTCCCCTCCTCCTCATGTGACAGTTTTTAGGTCTCATGATTGGCCATTTCGGCCAGAACAGTGCATCTTGGGAGGAAGTCACATGCTCCCCGATACCTGGAAGGACCAGGTATTTCACAGTGGTGCAACAAAAAGGCAAAGGAGCATGGGGAAAGTGGGTAAGTGTGCAGTGGGGGTGATCTTTTAACAGATTCATTTAAATTATTCTGACTTTTAAACTTGTGGTGTCCCCACCAAACTGTAGAGTTCATAACGGCTGACACATTTTTGGGGCACACCCTTTCTTCAGAGCTACTAAAACGCACCAGCTCGAGTACACAGCGGCCAGTTCTGTGACAGGAGTGACCGGTGGCGGCTGCTGCTTGTTATGCCAGGGAGTAAATAGCCTCATGATTGGTTCTAGTGGCATTGCAGCAGACATCCTGGAATGCTCAAAGCACTGTGTATCATAATTTTGTGAGTACATTGGTTTGTGTCTAAATTCACATTAAATAAATGGTATTTCACATAGAGGTGGTACTCTGTGTTATGTATTTTTTCTTGGAATTCTATATACAGTATATAAATGCTATATATCAGCAAAAGTACAATCTCACCTATTTACCTTTTCTCATAGGTTATCAGTGCTGTTTATGGATGATTTAGGACAGATCTCACCAAGTAAAGCCATTGTAGCTGGAGGTGTGGCAGGAATGTTAGCGGCTATCGTCATCTACCCTACTGATGTCATCAAGACTCGACTTATTGTACAGAACAGCTTGGAACCCACATACAGAGGGATCATACATGCACTATGTAGTGTGTACTATCAGGAAGGATTCCGATCATTATATCGAGGGGTTTCACTTTCAATTCTTGGTATGTCTTTGTTATTATTATTACATGGTTCAATTTATTACACACACATGACAACCAATGCCCGCAGAAGATCTTAGCTAAAAGCATTCTCTACTGTACTCCACGGCAGCTAGGAACTTGTCTGTGGTGGTTGATGTTTATCAACAAGTAAAGTTTAGTATTTCTTTCTGAAACTAGGTTGTTTATTTAAAATGGATACGAGAACACTCCAAGCGAACAGTAGAAAAGTGTATTTCTAGAAAAAGCCATTTAAAGAAGAACTGTGGGCAAAATTTGTATTAACCCTTGCAGTGGGGCTAGCCCCTCACTGCAAGGGTTAACTGCTTGTTTTGGTCTAGGGAGGAAAAAAGTTATACTCACCCGATCCATAGCCCCACTACAAGGGTTAATCAAAAATTTGCCCGGAGTTCTTCTTGAATTCACTAAGGGACCAATTTATAAATCGGCATGATAACTTTACAGCTGCTCCAAAAAAAAAAAAAAAGCAATGTGCTTTATAAATGTGCCGTCTGATTAATTTGCTTCAGCTTTCCGAAATAAACAAAGCCCATTCAAGTGAATGAATGGGGGGTGGGGGAAGCAGGGAGGAGGACAGCCTGGTCACATGATCTGTCAAAGTCCTGGAACTGGCCTCTCCTCCAATCACAGACTGCTCCCTGCAGAGAATGCTTAATGAAACGCCACTCTGTTTTATGAATGGCTCATAAAATGCAGATCACAGTGTGAAGTAAACACTGCAGTGTTTGTCAGAGCGCAGATAGGGATATCCATTCTTCTTTTATAAATCGGCCCTACATTTTGCTGTAGCTGCTCAGCAGGTAAAGGGATGGTCTGTAGATAAAGCAGAAAAAAAGTGCATGCTGTACCTTTTTTTTTTTTCATCGCACACCACCACAACACAGTGGTGTGAACTGAGACAAAGAAAAAACAGTCTAATTACCTTGTCAGTGCATTGGGGCTTCAATGGAAAAGATGGCCAGCACAGCCTCAATGACTCTGGTGTGAAGCGGCTCTAAATGCTACCCCTGAGTACCCTAAAAATTTACATTTTGCCTTAAAGCCCAACTTCAGGCACAACTCATTGGAGTTAAATTAGTTGAACACTCTGTTTAATTTAAGGCCGCCTGCAATAATGTACACTTCCTTCCAGGTTGCTTCGGCTGTAAGTGCTAGACCCGGTAGCATCTCTGGAGTCTGTGAGACCTGCAGAGGTTATAGCCGAGAGGGCACAGAAGTACAGCGGCATGTAAACAAAAACACCCACATATAAAAAAGATAACTTGCAGTGTGAATGACGTGTACATTACGGCAGGTTGCTTTAGAGAAAACCCAATGTTCAAATCATAACCATGATCATAATACCAAATCATAACCATGATCATAATACCATAACCATAACCAAGCTTATTGTGTCTAGAGATTGCCTTTAAATTTCACCCTAAAATATGACCCTAAATATGGCTGTAACATGAAACATGGTCAGAAAGGTAACTTTGGCTTTTAATTGCTTTTCCTTTAGAGTACAGACACATCAGACAAAGATCTTGTTCTTAAGCTGGCCATACACCTATAGGTTATCTGCAGATTTTCTATGGTCAGATGGAAAAAGTGCAACAGATTCCTCCATCTACACTAAACTGTGTGCATGGAGGAACCTCCTGCTGGGCCAAGCTTCACTATCTTGCTAGTCGGCCCGCTGGCTGTCAAAATACCTGAATAATCTGATTGGATGCAGGCATTGTTCCGGTATTTTGAGAGCCAGCGTGGCTGACTAGGAAGATACTGAAGCTTGGCCCAGTGGGAGATTCCTCCATCCACACAGTTTAGCATAGATGGAGGAATCTGTTGCACTTTTTCCATCTAAAATCTGCAGATAATATATAGGTGTATGGCCAGCTTTACTGGCACACATCTCACAAGCTTTCCTGGCCTTTTGGCAACAACATTTGTATCTTCACAATGCTCTGTAGTTGGGAGCAGGTATCATTGTGAAAAAGTCACTTAAACACTTATGAAATGCAAAATAATCGTCTTTATGTTTCCAGGAGCAGTTCCATTTTCTGCTGGTTTGTTCTTTATGGATGTGAGTCTGGACAGAATATGGCAGGAGTCCGGGGCCCGCTTAACGCCTCTACAGAACTTTGTGAATGGCTGCTTAGCTGCTGCTGTAGCCCAGACAATGTCTTTTCCCTTTGAAACTGTCAAGAAAAAAATGCAGGTACAGCGTTTAAACACTTCTTTTTTACCTTTGCCTTTCTCAGGGAATATACTATTTATATAAATATTTATACTGCATGCTGAAATACAGACTAGTTTGCACCCAACACTGCAAGGGTTAAGTGCTTGTTTTTGTCTAGGTGCTAAAAAAAAGTTATAGTCACCCGAACAGCTGAGCCGGCTCCCTGCTTCGCCGGTCTCCCTCCTTCTATGCTGCAGGAATGTTCCCCAGCATCCTCATGTCTATACACTGTGTATAAATTGTGATGATTTATAGGACCTTAGACCACTGCAGAGTAGGGACCGGTCTAAGAACAAGCTGGCTCCAAAGTTCGGGTGAGTATGACTTTTTTGTTTAGCACCTAGACAAAAACAAACAGTTAACTGTTGCAGTACTGGGGTATCCCCACTGCAAGGGTTACTTAAAGTTTTCCCCGGAGTTCTTCTTTAAATAAATTAGAGAAGCTCTGTACGGCTTCAGGTTTGTACAAAATTATATAATGTTAGAAAAGCCTAAAGCCTGCCATATACTGTTTTAATTTCCTGTTGACGCTGCTGAAGTTCAAGCAGTGGGGGGCCCTGTCTGCACCACTCCGTTCAACAAAAGTTGATTTTCTAATCGACTTTTGATGAACGAGCCAAAGTGTAACAGCCAGACAACCAGCATTTTCAGAAGCAGGTCAGCAATGGCAGCCCGCTTATTTATCTCCCCCATTTCTTTAAAACATTTACAGCTACATAATGTATGTTCAGGTTAGAAAAAATAGAGCGATTTTTATAAATACTTTAACAAACACTTATAGCTTTAGTTGCAAAGACAGCTTATTATGAGAATAGTATAGCCCAGCAGACGAGAGATCGTGATGTACAGATGGTGAAGCAGTAACAGTATTGTTGGAGCAGTTTGGTGAGTAATGAATTTTAGGTGCAGGACACCAGATGTCGCTGTACTGGAAATGAAAGACCTTGGCTTCATAATCCTCAGATTGGCTGGAGGTGACTGGAGGACTTACACTGTTATGTGCTTAGCATTAGATGACCACGAGGTGGAGCTTCAGGGAAAGAAACCTGTATGTCATTTCCAATGTCCTTGACAGCTGCTAAAGCCACCTTCTACTAAGTACATTCTATGTTACTCTATAACCCCCTGACCTTTTTCATTTTCTTTTCTGTATTTAAGGTGTTATGTTGTGTATACAATCATTACCTTGGCAAGCTGTTTATGATCATTTATTCAGAAATGATTCAAAGTAGATGATCCATTCCACTTCCTGTTGTCCTCAGTTTCATCTGTCCCATGGGATGGCTTGAGGTTCACATAATGTATTATGGAGATTTCTAAAATGAATCCTGTTCATCTTTTTACAATCTGTATTAAACCAGCTGCCTGAGCAGTAAAACCTGTTTTAGAACAATACAAGTTTTTTTTTTCCTTAAAAGAAATAGTTGTAGTTTTAGAAAAGGGTTTTCTACACATTACCCCTTATTGACCTAGGGGCACAGATCTACACCCTAATTTCAGGGCGTGTTTGCACCAGAACATAGATAAAGCTTTAAGCATAGAAGTGCACACAGACGCTGATGGCATGTATGCTATACTTGCTGTGATGGCCATACTGAAAGCAGAGCTGAAAATATCAACTCCTAGCTGGTGGTTGGTGCCATTGACAGTGATCACGTGACAAGGCAGTATTGTAAAAACACACAATTCCAGTGTTAATTTCCTCAACTAATAATTTTGTCATAGATTTCATCAACAACACTTTTTCAGTGACTAAAACTAAAAAAATAACCTAGGTTATGAACATTAAAAACTATAATGAAAATATTTTGACATTTTAGTCGACTAATTAAAAATAAAATGTTAGGGAGAGACGATTTGGGATAAGATCCAATCAGAACTAATCTCTTTGGACTTCCAGTTCCGGTTCCATCCTGAATGGACGTCTAATAGGTAATATGTGCAATGGCATTACAGCCAATATAGTTTTTCATTTTAATATTTTAGAGTTGAACTTCTGCTTGAAAGAATGAAGAATGTCATATGCAAGTAGTTATAATCAATGAATATCTAATTACTAGTCCTTTGTTGAAAATACTCAGTATTATTGTTTCTTTATAAGGCTTGGTTTAATCTAATTTTAAGATAAATAAAGACATGTTATATATCACAACAGTTAAATCTGTGTCTGTATTGCATGTTCAAACCTTAATACCATAAGTAATAACAGGTTAACAGATTTTTACTCCAGGAGTATATAAAATGAGATTGGACATTCTAGAGAAATTCTTCTTTAAATGACTCTTTAATTAAACCCACTAGATTTTACTAGACTACATCTACTGTAGATTTAGTTGACTAAAATCTTCTGATATTTAGTCGACTGAAACTAGACTAACAATATATGGTGTTTTAGTCAAAAGACTACGGCTTAAACTAAATTGAAATTTGCTGTCAAAATGCACTTTTCCATATAAAATGACTCTCCACGGTCAGAAGAACACCAGTGGATAGATTAAAAGTAAAAAAAACTAACTGCTCAAAAGCTTACTGATAACATAAGCTGTTAGCTCACTGCTTATCTTGCAGCTGTGCGCTACAATGCATTGCACTGCATTGTAGCGCACAGCAGCCAGGAGGTCAAAGGAGCGCCATACAGATGAATGGCAATGCAGGACACCTAGAGCTCGGTAACACACGCTAGGTGCGTTATGTGATAGCATGTGTTTATCACTCAGTACGCTCAAGTATGAACAGGCCCAAAGACTTGAACAGGCCCAAAGACCAAAGTCACTCCAGTCAAGGAGGAACAGAATACCTCTGGTGATGAAAGGATTCGATGTATTGCATAGGGGAGAAAATGCTAGATGCACAGAATAAGAAGAGCTTTTACAGGAAATCAGGGGCTATTATAAGTGCTTGGAATTCTCCCATTTGACTGGAGTTGAGAACAGTGCATTAGCTGCCATTGCCATCCTCCTTTAAGAAATATTTTTTTATCTGTTTCTGGCTTTAGTACTCTGAGAACCAACCCAGAACAAGTGAATTTGAGTGAGCTGCCTCTAATCTGCATACTTGTTCCAGGTCAGTACCTCAGAATGTGGTAAAGTCAGATGATGAGCATGACAGCCAGGCCATTAGCATTTGCAGATGGGAAAGACTGCAATGAGAGCACTTGTATTTCTTTCACCATATGCTACTTTTAAAGCCTTGCCCCTGACTCGATTCTAGACCATCTTCCTACTAAAAATTCACTTTGTGTGCACCAAATGCTTTCACAAACCGGGATATTACCTAGGAAAAGTAGTGGTGACAGAATCAGTGTACTGTACATAACCAGTGCAGAAACAGAGTTGTGGGTGGGACCCAGCAGGTTCTCCAATCAGATGCAGGTTCTGTACGGGTACTGGAGTAGTGGCTGCTGAATAAAAAAGCCAGCAGCAGGCATTCCTTTTTCGCCTAGATGGGGATATCTATGGCTTTCCCTCGTTCAGTCCCAATGACATTCTAAGCATGAATGGCCAACTTTAGATAGCTCCAGTATACAAGGTGCCTTTTTGTAAACATCCATCTGTGAAGGAGGGCTGAGATTTCACAAGTGCTGAGCACTTGGGAATGTTAATCATTTTGGACTTTGGCCAGAAATGAGGGCAGTTTTCCCATGATGACACTCTGCACAGACCAACTTTACAAACCCCCTACTGTCCAGCACTTGGAAAATGCCACTTGTGTTTCAAGGTAGAACCGTAAAGCTAAAGTGTGGGCATATATAAAAGACCTCCATCCAATCCAGCAATGTAATCAATAAAACACTTCTACTGACTGAGGAAGGGGCAGCTTTGAAGAGCAGTCACTTCTATGCACAGTGCTGTGAATCTGAAATGAAGCTTGCTGATTGGAGTACAGAGATGGACCGCATCAATCACAAACCAGTCACAGCTTAGACCATGCTGTATTTCTTTGGATGCAAAGGAAAAAATAGTCAGGACCTTGATCTAGTTTCTGGCAGGGGTATCTGGATGAACTCTTCTAAAAAATGCTAGTTGCTAGGATGTGTCTGGCTTCAGTACTTTTAAGTCACATACATAAGTCACATACTCAGAACAAGTATGCCATAAATGAGTGTCAGAAACGTGTCAGAGTTCCTTATCTCTTTACTTGTTGCAGGTCAGAGACTCAAACTATTGAACCAAAAGCATCAGAATGACAGCCAGGGAGCTAATGTTCTCAAAGAAGAGGTCCAAAATGGCAGCCCCCATACTCTTCTTATGACAGTCACTTTTAGTGATAAGGCCTGGTAAGCTCCCTGACCCCAGCCTGTGACTGGACAATGAAGGAGCAGCAGCTTACCTTTATCTTCGTGTTCGTACATATGCATGCAATAGAGCCTGATCCTCCTCCCTCATCCATTCTATGGGGATGATATACTAAAGGGCTGTTCGCTTTGCAAGGAATTTTCCCTTTAGCTTAGTGAATAAGGTGAAGCTCTGCTGACTTCTATCATCCAATCATGTGCAAGCAAAAATACCTTTTTTTAAATTGTCCTTGTCCAAAGCAAAATTGTCCTTGTCTCTTTGCAAAGTGGATTTTTACCAGATTCACTAAGCTAAGGGAAACCTTCCCGGCAAAGTTAACAGTCTAGATTGCAAGTATTAACGAGCAGGGCCCTCCTACCTCCTGTACTGAAATTGTATTGTTAATTGTATTGTCTCCCTCAGTTTTGTAAAGCATTGTGTAAACTGTTGACACTATATAAATCCTGTATAATAATAATAATATTTGCCTGTGGTAAATCAAAACCCTATGGGGGAGTATTTACCAAAACTGGAGCAGACAGAATCTGGAGCAGCCGTGTACAGTAACCAATCAGCTTCTTTCTTCAGTTTGTTCAGTTAACTTTGAAAATGAAAGATAGAAGCTGATTGATTGCCATGGGTAACTGCAATAGATTCTGTCCGCTCCAGCATTAGTAAATTCCCCTCTATGTGCTCAACTACACAAAGGTAGATATCAAGTCATACCAGGTTCTCATACTGATTTTATTTAAAAACACATTTGGTAAAGGTTTATTGAATACTTTTAGTGCCCATAGCAACCAGCCAGAATCTGCTTTGCACAGGTCTGACCTTGCCAAAATGAGCCGTTTGCTATGGGTTAGTGTTCTTTGTACTTCCTTCTGAATAAGGACAATAATGTGTACTCCCAGAAAAATAGTTTCCCTCTAATGTGGGTAGAGCCTGCTTGTCCAGTTGTCCGATGACTGACCTTTTACCACCATAGTATTAGTCTTGTCTCTGCGGAGACTATGGGTGGCTCCCCTCACATTAAAAGAGCCAGTTTCACCTTTGGTCAGATTGTATCAGCATGAACCTGACAACCCAACCACTGTACTGCTGATGTACATTGAGCTGCTAGTGGAATGCAGAGAGGTCATGTCATTTACAGTGAGCATGTGCGACTTTTTGTTCATGACAGTCCTTGCCTGCAAACATCCAATGAGAACATGCATTTATGTTTCTGTTAGTACCGTAGGAATATCCAAAATTCTGATCTCAATAAATGGTTCACCCGGGTTGTTTTTAAATGTATAGTCAGATATAGTGACAGAATGGACTGGTCTATGGTGGCTGCACACAGCCGGACCCCCTGGCAGATGATACTCTCAAGTCAAGAGTTGTGTGTCAGAATTGGGGTCATGTTTTAGAAATAAAAACCCTTGAAGCCAAACTCCAGAGAGAATTAAAAAAAACAAAAACAAACAGTTAATGTAATCTAGTCGGCAGCCAACAGGGAAGGAAGTGGGGGGGAATAAATATCGCATCTAATTCAGTTGTGTATGTAATCTCAGCAAAGCAGTTAGGATCAGCCTGGTAAACCTGTGAAAATAGGCTACAGCTCCTCCTACTGGCTGGAAATTGAAAATCTAAAATATAAATTTGCATTACGAATGTACAGAAAATATATACAGTAGATTATATTACATTTACGTACTATGGCCCACTGCCATAAATAGATCTGTTCACACTGTTTACAATGCTGTCTGGTGTGTTTGTAGCCTTTGCACTTTCAGCCCCAGATGCCTAACTTTGGCAGTTTTGCAAACATTGCTCTAGATTTATCCTGTAAGAAGTGGTCAGGGGCTGGTTTTATATTGCTACAATGCCACTTCTGAGCAACAGAGAGGGAAATTTATGGACCAATCTGTGATGTTCTAGTAAATCTGCCTTTTTAGATGCAATTCTGGGTTTGCAGCATGTTAATAAATCACCACTATTCTTTGTAATCGTCTGCAGTATGTATGTTATTAATAACCTAGGCACAACTAGAAAAACAATTCATCTTCCTGGAAATAATCAATTGCCTATCGTTCAGCTTGCTTGGAACAAGGGTTTATGATCATTTACACCAGGTTGTTATCTCGGCCTGTGTGTCTAAGTCCTGCCGGTTTTAAACAGGAATGACCTGTTCTGGGCGTAGTACACACTCAGCTAAGGAGGACACAGCACCGCACTGCACACACATTATATGACACTGCTGTACATTGTGTGCTCTTCTCTCTGAATCAATTCTAGGATCATTACTATCTTTTATTTCATAGTTGATCGGTTTATGTAGTTTAATATCACTTCTTAGACAATAAAAGGTATCCAATGCAAATACATGATACAACTTGTACAGTAATGCAAATGTTTAAAGTTGTAAACTGTAATAACAACCGATCAGAAATACTATTTTGTTGATCTGACTGTAGTTGATAAATATCTGGTTGCCATGAGTGACTTAAGGCAGAATTCCGGGCAAATCAAATCTTAACCCTTGCAATGGGGCTACCCCCCGCACTGCAAGGGTTAACCCTTGCAATGGGGCTACCCCCCCGCACTGCAAGGGTTAAGTGTTTGTTTTGTCTAGGGAAGTAAACAAAAAAAGTTATATTCTCCCAGAACCGCAAGGCTGGCTCCTACACCGCTCCCTGCAGCCTGTCTGCTACAGAGATAGTATGTCCTTCAGCATCCTCACATCCTATATACTGTATACAATGTGATGAATGACAGGACCTTAACCTGCTGGAGTAGAGGGTGAGTGAGACTGAAGGGACCAGTCGAAGGCCCCATTCCCACTAAGCGATTTATCGTGCATTTTTGCAGCGAGAAGTCGCCGGACAATGCTATTGAATGGAGCTGTGTTAGCTCCATGTCGCTTGTCGCTTGTCGCTCGTCACTGTCGCTCCAGCAGGACCCTTTTTTCTGTGGATTTTGCGCGATTTTTCTATTTTTTAATGAAGCCCGGTGGTGAAGGTCGCGCTACCGTCGCTGGACGTCGCCCCGAACAGTCGCGCTATCCCGGCCGCGCGGATCCGCCGCTAAAGGTAAGTCGCTCAGTGTGAATGGGGCAGAAGATCAAGCTGGGATCGTGGTTTGGGTCAGTATAACTTTTGCTGCAGTATAGGCCTTTGCTGTGTGGGGGGAGCCCGGATTTGCCCGGAGTCGTGCTTTGCCCAGATTAAAACTTCTTACTACTATCCAGAGATTTCCCCTCACTTCTTGTCCAGTTGACCATGGTTTCAGTGAAAGAAAATCTGCAGCAGCGACACAAACGGAACTTCAAATCTACTAGGGGTTCTAGCCATCCCTTCTCTACTAAAGACAAGCATTTTTAATTCTGTCTGTGTTGCTGTTGGAGCGTTCCCATCACTTCCTGTCTAGTAAAATGTTATCAGAAGGCTGGGAAGTGAGGGTGACTCTCTCCAACAGAGCCCTGAATTGGAGAAAAAGTAGGTAGGGGTTCTAATCCTTCCCCACACTATCCAAAGCTAGAAAAAAAAATTCTACTTAACATACACTTTAACTTTGCATGTTTGATTCCTGTTACCACTAACTTATTGAATAAGCCAACAGTCATTTGTTAAGCAGTCCATATTTCTTTGAATATCAGAAACTTGACCAAGTGTAACCAGGTCCACTGGTACTGTTATCAGCTCTCTGTGTCTTCATGCAGAACTTACAGTATAAGTACTTGGGCTGCTCCTAGACTATAGCTGGCCATTGTACAGGCGCTGCCGGCTAGTACATTTGTGTACATGGGGTTAAATGGAAGTAAACTCTTCCGGTGCCCCTTATCTTGGGAAAGAACGGTAGAGATTGGCTTTTGTGGTTTTCTTTGTGGTAAGCAGATAGACTTTTGAGTGAGGAAGATTTGCAGTTATTTGCACACAGTGAATGTAAATGTGTTTTATCTCTTTCACAGGCACAAAGTCAGATCCTTCCTCATTGTGGCAGCGTTGATGTCCACTTCAATGGAGTACTTGATTGCTTTAGACAAATTGTAAAGATGAAAGGTGTACTGAGCCTTTGGAACGGACTGACTGCAAATTTACTGAAGGTGACTTGTTTTTCTTTTAAAGTTTATGTAAACGAATAATAAACTGCTCCTCTTTGCTCTCTTTTGGTCTGTTAAATATAACATAGAAAGTGTTTTTTATATCTGTTAAGTGCAAAATAAAATACCTCTTGATCCTGCCAGAAATTCTGAGGTGTCGTGTGCACTCTGCCTGTGTTATCTCAAGGAATCCAATCAGCCATTTCTAGCTCACTTGCTTAAACCCCCCTTTATTATGGATATGAGGAGAGGGGAGGAAATTTGTAATTCAGAAAAAGACACCAGGGCAGAGCTCACACCATTCCTTGCGGTTTGAGTCCAAAAAAAGGCAATATGTTGTCAGCCCACAACAGGAAATTGAGGAGCGAAATGCATTTCTAAAAAGATCAAGAGGTATTATTCTAAACTTGCAGGGCCTTTAAAGAGATAAAACATTGGAAAATGTATTGCAGACATTCCAGCATTCTCCTGTGAGCTCAGTACCAATGGTAGGGACTTGAAGCCCTGGGCTCACAGGAATTAGTTTAAATGATACTGGGCGTTAATCAACTCAGAAGAGGAACTGTGCTAGATTGGTAAATGGGTGAGTCTATGGAAGACAGCATCAGAGATATAGTATAGTAGCCAGAAGTTTTTTTATTTTAAAGAGCTGCTGGGGGGTACATTTTTTGTGTTAGGCCCAAACTGAAATTGGGCTTTATTGACCCAGCAAGCAATGGTCATGTCCAACCATCCACAGAAATCTATGGGCACGTCCTCATACAAGCCTAAAAGATATCAGACTGGGCTGCAGGTGTCTGTATACAGATCTTATGTCTGTATGTGCCTGCATATGAGGCATTGCTATCAGAATGATTTCAAACTCATTCCTAATCACTTTTTTCAGCTAAAATTAGCTTGTGTCCGCCTCTTACTCTCTGTTCCCTGCCCTTCCACTCCCCATTGAAATTAACTTGTAAGACTGGCACTTTGCCAACATGAATGATCACTCTCTCTAGTCTGTGGGAGCATTGCATTGTGCAATGTACCTGAACAATTGTAAATATGGTGAACCACTTATAATAGCAATGCATGCACCTTGGTTGTACATGTTCTGTGAATTTTTGGTCCAGGTATTTCAATACATGAGAGCAATGCTTATAAATTAAACTGAAAGCTGCATAAAAGCATAGCAAAAACATTTTTGAATGCTGAGGAAGGCTTCTCCTAGCCCTAAGGCCCCATTCACACTGTGATCTAGGATTCCTGTGACAAGAACCTACAGATTCCTGCAGCAGGAATCCCAGGTGTCTCAGCGGCAGTCTGTATGTGGGATAGATGTGTCCAGTGACAATCATCTGTTCCAAATGTACGATTACATGTGGACTGCGGCTGAGAGATCTGGCCGCTGTCACCCTGTCATTTACTTGAAAGGGCACAATGGCCGAATTTGTACAGGACACCTAGGATTCCTGCCGCGGAAATCCCACAAGTCACCATTTAAATGGAGCCTTATTGTATAATTTTCCTGGATCTGTACCTTTGTTTCATCAATACCTATGATTGGATTTATGTGCAAAGAAACTTTAAGTACAGACTAAATTATTATCCACTAATGTTTTTTTTTTCTTCTTTATTTGTTGCCAGATTTTTCCTTATTATGGATTAATGTTCAGCACTTTTGAATGCTGCAAACGGTACTTTCTATATAGAAATGGTTACCTTGTATCACCACTCAGCAATCAGCTGATGCCGGGAGTGGATCAGAGTCTGGGGCCCTGGGAACTGCAAGAACTGCGCAAGTTTCTCCGGCAAAAGAACATTGAAAACAGAAACCCATCTTTAAAAAGCTAAACCCGGAGGAACAGATAATACTGTAATGCTAAATTTGTACATTTATACCTTCCCTGTAGGTGTACTGGGAGATTAGAGTATTTATTTTTGGAGCTACTGCTGGAAGAGAGATCTATGACTGACTAACTGTGACTCAATCATGGATTGTGAAAGGGGATCTCCCCTTAAAATATTATTGCTTTGCCATGTGTTCAAAGAACACCTCCAACCAATATATAAACCTCAATGTATAAGATTGATGTCATCTGGTTTCTAGGATTCCCTGTGTACTGATTTTGATCCTACTTAATTGAAGATCCTTTTACTACATTTTTATATTCATTTGATGCAGTTTTGCACTAGGGGTCATTGGCCAAACAGCTGATCCAGTCAGAGCTCTAGGAACTAAATATGTTGGCAGTTCAGAGAGTCACAATAAATCTTTTAAAAATACTAGTAATACTGCACAACTATATAGAGTTGTATTCAGAGTAGGGGCCCAGCCACCTCCTATGTGACTGCCCTTAGTTCAAGTGTAAAGTCAGGTTCCATCTGCAAGCTGGACAAAGCAAATATAACAGATTCCTCCATCAATGCTTACGAGCCTTGCTCGAGGAATCTCCTGCTGTTTTCGGCCGCGGTTACCGGATGACCGTAATGAAGCTGGAGCTCATTGGCTGCTAGCTCTGTTCAGCCAACAATTTTCTGACATACTCCTTCGATCAGCTAATTGAGGGATGCTGGTCGTAAAGGTGCACACAGCAGCACCCACGCATTAAATTTCAGCCAGTTCATCAAAAAATGGACAAAATTTAAAGCGTGTATAGCCGGCTTTAGTAATCTGTATTGTCGTGAGCCTCATGTCAGTACTTTGAACTGCTATTATCTCCGGTAACCAATCAAGTTCAAACTTTCAGTTTCTGACTTTGATTATCTCAGGTGTGGGTTGAATTTGGTGGGTGCAAACAATATTACTGTTATGTATGGAAAGTATTGCCAGTGTATGGATTTCCAGAAAAGGAAACACATTATAAACCATATGTATGCGTTAGATGATGCTCAACCATTCTGCAGATATTAAAATGAGCTCTCAGGTGCAACAGCTCTCAGTGGGGTCACAAAGATTTGCCGGCATGCCTAAAAATGTGATACGGTTGCAGAAATGTTCTACTATGTTGGCTACATAATGAAATACGCTTGAATTTAAGGAAATGTTCATTTAGAGGCAGAACAGATCTCTCCTCTCTTTATAATAATAGATAAGAATGAGAAGACTGCCTTTATGTTTCTTCCTAACCCCACAATGACCAGCCAGTGCAGAACCATGATTTGCTGCCCATACCCATATCAGAGTGTCAATCTGTGCTGCCTGTTTTAACTGGTTAAGGAACATGGACAAGCACAGTGTGTGTACGTGGGTGCACTGAGTTATGTACATAGTCAGGGTAACGGTATATTTGCTGTGACCAGGCTATTACCAGCATCTGTTATCATATTAAAGGCCTTAACACATTTGGCCAATTTCCTGCAGTGAAACATAATGTAAAACAAAAGTCCTTTTAAGCAAGTCCTTCAAACTCACCTTGCAGTGCATTATTAAAGGTTTTTGTGCACTGAAGTGTTTGTGCATAAGCTTGTGTTAACTAGGCCCTTTAAAATGAATGGTAAACACAGATATGCATGCATCAGGTTTTTTTTATGAGCTTCTGGTATTGAATGATCTACCCCCTTAACATGTTCCATAATCCATGTTGTGTACCCCAGGACATACGGCAGTTAAGATACCAATAGACTTGAGGCAATCATCACCCAATCCAGCTGATTTCAGCTATTGATCCACGACTCTATGGACAGTAGCGGATGGCACCAGGCATCCTATACTTGGGGGACAATGCCATGCTGAATGGTTTTGCGCAGTCAATACTGTTTTACTGCAGTAGGAAGTGTTGGACCATACTTACATTTTTTACAGCACAGGCATATACCGTATATACTCGAGTATAAGCTGAGATTTTCAGCCCATTTTTTTGGCTGAAAAGTGCCCCCTTCGGCTTATACACGAGTCAGCGCCAGGTGTCTTCTTACTTACCTCGCCGAGCGTCGCGTCACTGCTGCTCCGGTGTGCAGCGCTCCGAGCGGGGTCATCTGGCAGTCTCCGGGTCCTAATTTAGGTGGCCGGAGACTGCCAGATGACCCCGCTCGGAGCGCCGCCCACCGGAGCAGCAGTGACGCAACGCGACACTCGGCAAGGTAAGTAAGAAGAAAATAAAAAAAATCCTGCAGTGCCAGTACAGCAGGGGAGCAGGGATGTGGCAGCGGCGCGCTGGTCAGACGAGAGGAGCTCCAGGTGGGGTTGTAATTATGGGGCAGGCACCAATATTAATTTAATTTTATTGGTATCTACCAGTAGCTGCCTCATTTCCCACCCTCGGCTTATATTCGGGTCAATACTTTTTCCCAGTTTTTTGTGGTAAAATGAGGTACCTCGGCTTATATTCGGGACGGCTTATACTCGAGTATATACGGTACATGCAAAGTTCAGCTTACTGGTAGATTGTTTAGGTTGACCCTAGTGTTCCATAGTTCTTTAGAGTTTTTTTTTTGTTCAATTAAGGCATCAAATCTAAAATTAAATATGACTGTGTGGGGCTGTTTTTTGTCCACTCAAGGACCTATCAGGAACAAAGGCAAGTAATCTAATGTCTATGGAACTTATCAATGGTAAAAATATGTAAAGCTGCAACAGTAGTGAAAAGCAGACAAGACACCCCATGGTGCCTCCACATGCATTGAGTACCCCCAAAATGCCAATTGTTACCATTAGGGATGCACAGATACTTTTCGAGTACCAGTGCAGATACCTGGCATTTTCATGAGAACTACCAGGGTTTCAGCGGTTGCAGCTGGGACCGGGCTCTGGCACTCCACCACTGTCCTGAAATCATTAGTCTGTATTGTTTTTGAAAAACTGTCACATGACAATAAACAAAAATGTATCAGTACTCGTACTTGTAAGTACTCGGCAAGTACCAGTACTCGTACTCGCAAAACTGCTATCTGTACATCCCTTTATTTATATTTATAAAAACAAAATCGTACATTAAAACAGAGATGTACAAATCCCAGGAGCTCCGTGTGCTCCTTACAAATGACAGCGGCCTCCTAATTTTTGAATTTTTCTCTAGTGTAGTCTTGGAGCTCAAAAGTATCGGTACATGTACTCGTACTTGTACAGAGTACTGTACTTGGTATCTGTGCAACCCTAGTTACCATTCTTGGCTATGATGGTGCCAGCTTATTGCGGTGCTGAACAAGTGTTGCATAAAATACTGTGTGGGAGGGGGTGGCAAATGTATATACTGACTCGGCTTCCCAAAGTCAGTATTTACATATGAGAGATCCCAGAATAACTAGACTACATAGAATGATGCTTCTGTATATTATTCAAGCGATGACTGAAGCTGAGCGGTCTACTGGGATTAAAATCAAGTACGGTCAAAAAAAACTAAAGACTGTGGCCTTAAATCAGAGGTAGTTAAGCACAATTATTTGTTTTGTTAATGTCCCTACAGTGCAGAACATCTTAAAAATGTGAACGACTGCTAAAACAATTGCACTGTGAGCCAATGTTATGTTTCAAATGTTATGTATTAGCTTTTAAAATGTACTAATGTTGTACAAATTTTTCATACAGTAAAATGTAGTGTACCTAGTTGTTGCCCAGCTTATTCCACATTCATTATGTATTTTAGTGGCTTGCAAACCAAAAGAAACAAGAACACCGCTATATGACTAGATCTACATGGGTGATTCCTATTTGCTCAAAGGACAACTTTGTGAAACTGATCTATTTTCATCATATTACTTTTAATGTGTGTTTGCAGGTACACGTTTTAGCAGTTGATTTCCACAGGCCGTAATTTAGGGCCTAATTATTAAGCAGTGAATGCGACATTAACCAAACAGTCACTGCAGGTGATTTAGTCTCTTTAAAACACATGTACCAGGAAGATTCACCCGCAGTGAATGTTTGGTAAATGTCACATTTACTGCTTAATAAATATGCTCTGTAATCACACAGCAGAAAGTATACGTGGTTAATAATATCTGCTCTATAGACTTGAATTAGACTAGGGGATCATTAACTCAGCATTTATTTAGGGACCTGTTAGGTTTTCTCATGAATATACAGTATACCCTTGCAAGACTAATCTCATGATGCTGATCTCTAAACAATAGCCCAACAATTTCCTGCAGTAGCACTAATCTAAATACTGCACATTTGCTGCTCAAAGAGACGTCTTCTGAGTCTGGAAAAGCTCACTTTGTGACCTGATTAGTATTCTTGGCCATGAAGTCTGTCAGTTTACTAATGGCATCATTTACAAGACTTTTTTTCTGTCATCTTCCTAAGCGGTAGCATTGCCCGTGTCATGTCCCGACACGGGCAATGCTACCGCTTAGGAAGATGTATAAAATGTTATTGTTATTCAGAATCGGTGAAATGCGATATTTTGCACCATTGCCAAATTAGTGTTACACTTTTATATTCATTTAAAGAAAAATCTATTTGTTACGTTTGGAAAGGACTACTTCATCGGGCTCAAGTTGTGAAAGAGTGGTCCAGGGAGCATGAGACATCATGTTCACACATGGATTGGCCACCACAGAGTCCAGACCATAACCCCATTGAGAATCTTTGGGATGTGCTGGAGAAGACTCTCTCATCATCACTACAAGAACTTGGTGAATCAGAGCACTGTACCATATCTACCACCATTCAATGCATCCAGTTTGATGTGATATCCTTTACTGGCTATATCTTAAATAAGGTCTCCATTTATTTTGAATTACCTTGCCCATTGCAATCTACTTCCTGTGTGGCCAGGCTGTGATAGACACACCTCCTGAGGGTAGATCACCATGTCAGGTTGGGCTCACAGAACAATACTGGAGTGAGCTGTGCTGAAATGAATAAAAAAAAAAAAGAGCTGCGAGGGCCACAGGGGGATTCTGCGTTTTAAAGATGCTAGCATTCAAAATAAGATTTCGTTGTGGGGCAGTTTCTCCTAAATGTGAATGGCACCTTTTACTATCCTAAACCAAAGTTCTGCATTCTTATCCCTAAGTCAGTAACAACTGCATAGCATTAGACATCTCACTGTGTCGTGATGTCAGAGTATTTTGCCGAGCTGGGATTATGTTTATTGCTTTGCAGTTCAGAAAGGAAGCAATAGCATCTGTTTCTACCAAACAGTGC